TATTCTTCCCTTTCTTTAATTCTCTGTATGCAATTATCCACTAATTTCTGCAGATTTTGCCTCCACAATATTTCTCTAATTTGTCTCATCCTTTACATTGCCATGATCAATGAATCTTGAAGCTTTTCATTATCTCTTCACCTTTCAAATATTCAACTCTAATTTCTCATTTCCTTCATTATACTTCTCCTCACGCCCATTGTAACTTTCTCCTGCAGATGCTCTCCCTATCTCTATACTTTTTCCCCTGTCTTCAACGCATCTTTTAATTGGCTGTCTGATGGGTCATTCCAGAATTGCAATTCCATTAGTATTAATCCCCAAACAAGGCACTTTATGGGTCTTTACACTTTTAAGAATGAATACTACTCATCTGGGTATGAGAATTGAACCTTTCCACACTTCCTGTATTTATTCACTCTAAGTAATTGGTTTTACACTCTGACTATCTGACTATACTGAAATATGGCTACCTAGGCTCACCTTGAAGTTTCAAGCCTCAGGGCTTACGAAAACTGTTCCCCATACTACCACTTCTAGAAAAATCAAATCATCCTTCAAGACTCATCTCAGGTGCTTCCTCATTTGTGATGATTTTCTAGAATTCCTCCATCTTCTGGATGGAGTCATAGACATTTCCTAATAGTGTTTCTATTATAACACTTTTAATACAGTATTGAAATGATCGTTAGCACTTAAGAGCCTGGAAGGATAATAAACCATGATATTTTCTGGTGCAATGGAGCTAGACCACCTGGTTGATATGTTAGCTTAAGCACCCACTGGGTGTTGAGATATGGGGAAATCATTTAACTTTTCGGTGCCTCAGTTTTCTGATATGTAAAATAGCACTAATAAGAAGATCAGTCATAGTGCTGTTTTCCAGATATGTAAGTATATGTCTGTAAAGCAATTAAAATGGTGCCCAAAGGAAGCACTCAGTAAAGTTTAACTTTTATAATTGTAATCTAGAGACCTTCACAGTAACATTTATTCCTGCAGGCTTAATACCGTCTCATGTTGTAATGCATTGTTCATCAAAGGTAGGTTAAATAAATGGATGTCTCTGAAACTAGGGTTTATATATGTTTTACGTTTTTATTTTTTGCCCTTTTAAACAGTTTAGATTTAAGAATTGCTGCTAACTGGGATTCATCTGAAATGACAACTCAGTTTCTTAAATTAATTCTTCGGGGATAAAATAGGTAGCATTTCCTGGATACGTAACTTGGAGGCTATGAAAAAACTTAGTACCACACAGATATAGGCTTGCAATTATCCATGTTGGTATAAGCATAAATCATGTTGGTGTGTGTATGCACACTTGTGCACATGTATATATATGTATGTCTGTAATAATGCAAATGTTTTGCTTGTGGTTAGTTTGAACAACTGGTAACATGTGAAGTACAAATTTTTGCAGATAAAGTTAATTTCTTTCTTACTGTACAGTATGAAAACTTATACTTATCTAGGTAATGTATTAAATTCACAATGTGTATTTGAGGAAAGCTTTACCTCTGTATACCCTGTGATTTATTTGTATAGAAAGTAAAGTAACATTTGTTACAAGTAATAGCACAGTTTGTGCTTTCTTGCAAGGATATCAACATGAACATCTGATTCTTTAAATAAAATGGTTGTTGAAGATCATGTCACCTAAGTCTCTCAGTTGCCTCTACAAATTTCTACATGAATACATTATTTTAGATTTGAATGTAAGAAAATCAATTGGTCCCTAAAAATGTGGAGTTGACAGTGGGAACTATAAGAATTAATGATTTTCATATATGCTCTTTCTACCAAGAACCAGAAAGTCATATTTGAGGCCAGATAGTACAGTTGATCTTAGAACAAGGTAAGTTTGAACTGTATAGGTTTACTTTATGTGGATTTTCTTCCACTTTTGTCACCTCTGAGACAGTGAGAACAAACTTCTTCACTTCTTCCTCCTCCTCGGCCTATGCAATGTGAAGATGATGAGGATAAAAAAAAAAAACCTTTATGATGACCCACTTCCATTTAATGAATAGTAAATGTATTTGACTTCCTTGTGATTTTCTTAATGACATTTTCTTTTCTCTAGATTAGTTTATTGTAAGAATATAGTCTATAATACATATATACATATATAAACATAATATGTTTATGTTATATGTATTCTAGCATATAATTATGTTTTAATTGACTAGGCTATCAGTAAAGCTTCAGGTCAACTGCAGGCTATGAGTAGTTAAGTTTTGGGGGAGTCAAAAGTTGCACTTGGATTTTCAACTGTGCTAGGGAGAAGTCAGTTCTCCTAACCCCCAAGTTGTCCAACGGTGAACTGTAGACAACTGACAATTTTCCTAGGCATTTTTGCATTAGTCCTTTTTCTTAGCTCTGAGTTCCATATTATTCATAATACTTTCCTTTTCTATGAGTAATCTCAAAGTCTTTCTGGAATGAGTGGAATATAAATATATTCATATGTTTATACATACATATATAATGGATTAAATTGGTCTCCATGTTATTGTATTTCTATTCTCAAATCTAGAAGCATCAAGACAGTTAATTAAAATTTAATTAGTTTCCTGGTGGAAAAGAAATCTTGGCATCCGCTCTTTGATGTGCATTAGAAATATATACTGCTTGAGAAACATGGGTGTTCATTGCCCATTACCAATGTGGAGCCGTGTACCAGTGGAAATAATGCTGTTTAAATGTAATGATAGGTTAGATGTTAGACTTACTCCTTTTTAATTATATTTATAAATACTAGTTCCTCTTTTAAATAAACTGGATGAATTCTACACTGTTATAGCAATTATAAAAGTGGAATTTCCGCGTATCAAGCAAAAACTTGCATATACAATCCCATGAACCGTTTGAGGAGATGAAATACTACCACTCTCTAGGTTCAAATAAAAGTCAGTTTTATTTTTTTTAACCTAATTTCAACTTTATTACCTCCAGTTCTGGAAATTGAGGTCTATGGATCTTCTCTAATCAAAAACAGAGAATTTGTCAGGAATCTCAATATGATGCCTAGCTTCTGTCATAAACAGACTTGAGATAACTGACACCTATCTTGCAGAGTTTTAGACTATGTTACCCTTCCCTTTGTCTTGGATTTCAAACTTCCATTCTTACATTAAATTAAATAAAAAGAAACAAGTGTAGGAGGACCACATGAAATTATCTTGCAATATAGAAATGTTAGTGATTGTTATATTCCACGGTCATATTTGAGGAATTATGCAAGGAGAAGATTTATGCAGTAACTTCTGGGGAATTCCATAGTTTGGAGTGACTTCCTCAAAATTTTCCAAGACTTTTTGTGTGACTAGGGCTATCAGTGGACAGCAATATGATCAGAGAAGGGCATTCTGGTCTAGGCTGGAACTGTTTGGGTCTCAGTGTCCATTTATCATTTGGGGCACCCTTTGACATTCTACTCAACCTACAGGTTCATAAGTACCCTGTGGATCTTTAAGGATTGTACCGTGGGGTTGTCCCAGTGCCAACTGAACAGCCCCTGACTCCTGGTGGGCAGCCTGTAAAGGAGATAGTTCACAGTTCTTGCTTAATGGCAGTGTTTGTGTGTGTGTGTGTGTGTGTGTGTGTGTGTATGTGTCTGTGTGTGTGTGTCTGTGTGTATTTGTAAGATCATTGAGATTGGACTACTAGAATGATACTTATGGACTGATTTGATTTGAGGTTAGTCAATTTTTAAACATAGACAGGTGCCCTGCAAAAATCATTTGCCTGGGGCCACATATGCCTTAGTGGAAACTCTGGTTATATGTCCCTTTCAACAAAGATTCTATTTAAAGACCTTTTCTACTATATCGTTTAACATCCTTTAAATACATTTCCACAAGGCAATTTATTTTAAATGCGGTAGAAATGATTCAGATCTTAACTGACTATTCTTCCTTTGACCTAATATTGGAATGATGGAACCTGTTTATGTATATCTTTAGCTTATGTTTTCAGAAAGCTCAAAGGATTTGCTGCTCAAGAGTCGTGATCTTCCATATCCATTTCCAAACACTCTTCCTATTATGGTTTTCCATTTGTGACTTTGGATTTATTTTAAACTCTCCTCAGGCATCTATTTTTTTTTTTAATTAAAACCCATGGCAATATCTTTTACAAAATTTGAAGAGAATTCACAAAATCAAAATAAAATATAATACGTATTTCTGGGGGAAATTATTTTGTGTGTGATGGACAAGTCACACTGTTCTAGGCATGGGTGAAAAAATTTTTATGAAAAAAAAATAAGTAGTAGAACATAACTGTCAAACAGACAGTTGCCACCAAGTATTTTGTGAAAAAAAATAAATTTCCATAAAGTTGCAATAAGATTTTTAAATTGTATGCTCTGTTGATGTATACATATTTGGCTTCCAAAAATTATTACTTCAGCCATAAATACATTTATAAATATCTGCTGAACATATAAAAATTATTTATAAAGCTTTAGCAAGCCAAATCGAATACTTCAGGACCACAATCCAAATGGCACATCACATTTTAATGGGAAAGAAGAAGAAATACATCCTTGTCATTAAAGAACACCAAGATCAGTTTAGATTATTTATGCCTGGTGATTCTTCTGTGTCTCCTATTGCTAAACATCTCCAATTTGGCTGTGAGCAATAAAAATGATAAACTATACTGATACTATAGTTCTAACTACAGTTACAATTATGCTTAATAACATTTTCATATTTTAACTTCATGTCTTCAGCAAAGAATGTCAAAAACTGAACCAAACATATATTATTTTCATTAAAATAATCAGGAATAATTAAAGCAAAGAGGGTTTAAATGATATTCTGAAGCTTACCCGGGCCATTGAGTCAGGAAGATAAACCAGCTCTCTCGGATTTCAATTCCAGTGTTCTAGTCACTGGTTTGTTCAACTCCTGTGCAAAACATCCATACAAAATACACAATGCATACTCCCCCTTCCTATCAAGTGGTTGTCAAAAGAAACACGCCATTACCTTTCCCACATACTGAGGCTCGGAGCCCATGTATTCTTCCAGCACAAAAAATTGATTCCATACCCAGCCACGTTTAACACGTTGGAAATGTGACCGTTGTCCTGGCAGATGGATAACATTTTCTCTTGGCTCTGTGGCTAAAGTCTGCTGTGGCTGCGGTTGTAGTGGTGTTAGGAGACCTCCATCAAACAGAACCCAGAGAAGCAGGGATAAACAGTTCCTTGTAAGCATTGGCAAAGGCTTTCCTACAGCAGAGTAATAAAAACTCCAAAACTTAACGTAGAATTGTGGAATCCAGGTTTGAGGTGTCTGTGGCCTCCACCACTTAGCTTCTTGTTTTATTGCAGAAATGATAATGCAGGCATTAATCCTTTTGATGAAAAGGCTTCTGCTGTATTATATTCCATCTAAAGGGACCTATGAAATAGATTAACAAAGATACATTACATTAATAATATTGCATGATGATATTCATCACAACTCTCACTATATCTGCCAACATTTAAGGAAACAGAGAAGAAAGACTATAAAAGAATTATATTAGTAAATGGTCACCACTATTCACCATTTTAACTTGGATAAATTGTCTGAGTTTTTTACAAACTTGAGAAAATATTAGGTACAAGGAAGCAAAAGGTGCATTATAAACAGAAATTATATTTTCAAAAAATTGGCAAAACATTTTAAGGAGAAAAATACAGATCGCTATTTTAAAGTGAGCTATTAAGTTAGAGTAGGATCTTGCAACTTCAGCATTATTGACATCTTAGGGTTGATAATTCATTATTGCTGGGAAGCTATTTTGTGCATTTTAAGATTTCTAGTAGCACCTTTTTCTTCTATTTAATAGATGACAGTAGCACCTCTTCCCATATCTGGTTTGTGACAAGAAAAAAGTATCTCCAGACATTGCCACATATCCCCTAGGGTATCAAAAAAATGCCAAAATTAAGAACCACAATGTAGAGAATAAAGAAAACACAATTTTTAAAAAGCAAAAAGCCCCTGAAGTTAGAGAATAGACAGATACAGACGATCTAAAGAACAAGATAAATTATTAAATGTAAAATTGAATGATCTTACTAAAATGTAAATGATGGATACAATGTTATAAGTCTTTATAAATTTAAATTTCTTAAAAAATATTTCTCTAGCCTGGATATACCAGAAACCTTGACAACGTGAGTATTACTTTATAGATGTTGTGTAGCTCAGAGAAAAGCTGGATCCCTACCAGAAGCAAGACTTTTACTCTGCATTTAGGTAAAATGACTTTTGAGCTTTCTCTTATAACAAACGTTTTTAAATTCACTTATCTAATATTCATTGAGTGTCTATAATACACTGCCTTTAATTATGTGGTAGATAAGAAAACAGACACAATCTTTGCCTCTCTAAAATCACAAACAGAAAATAAGCAGTCAAATAAATAACTGAAGGCAAATTATGCTGATGGGGGGAGAAAAAAGCAAACAAAACTATCCTGAGGGTAAAACCTAAGTTAGCCAAAGCCTGTGGTAGGTGATAATTGCACTGAGGTCTAAAGGAATAAAAGTATTCCTGTATTTTCTAAGCAGGCACGATGAAATGTGGCTCTAGCACCAGGATGATTTTATGCATTTGGCACTAGGGTCACAGTGCTTCGAGCCTGTAAAGTTTCTAAGGGCCAAAAATGTTGGAAACCAGAAAATATATATAATGCTTCCAAACAAAGAGAACTAAAATCATAATCAATGCATGTTTAATTAAGTGTCTATAAAACATGGTGTTTTTGTCAACTAGTCAGCTGCAATTCAGATCAATGTGTATTCACTTATGTGTAATGTAATAAAAATACATATTATTAAAATTAATTTTGCTTATTTATTTATTTTATTTATTTTTTTAAGATGGAGTCTTGCTCTGTCTCCCAGGCTGGAGTGCAGTGGTGTAATCTCGGTTCACTGTAACTTCCGCCTCCCGGGTTCAAGCGATTCTTCTGCCTCAGTCTCCCGAGTAGCTGGGACTATAGGTGTGTGCCACCAGACCCGGCTAATTTTTTGTATTTTTAAAAGTAGAGACAGTGTTTCACCATGTTGGCCACTATGATCTCTATCTCCTGACCTCAGGATCCGACTGCCTCAGCCTCCCAAAATGCCGGGATTACAGGTGTGAGCCACGTCGCCTGGCCTCTTTCCAATTTTTTAATGTGTTTATGGGCAAATTAAAATTTGATATGCAACTCACATTTACATTTTGAATTATTTTTCATTGGACAGCACTGATTTAGAAAATACAGTCTGAATCACAAAGTGTGATTTCTATTTAAGCAATTTATTCTTAACATTCAAAGTAAAATATCTAACATGAACTGCATCATATTTGTGGTAAAAATACATTAGAAAGTAAGAGAACATTTTGCATCTATTTCAATAACGTGTAAGCAGGGTAATATATGTTTTCTCATTTGTTTTTAAGTTCAAATTGCTAGGATTAACCTCTAAGGTGTTTTAATTTCTTGAATTTTTTTGTTTCTTCCATGTTTCATCCCATACTCATACCAATCCTATTCTAAGCATGTCCGTTCAGATTGGGAGATAAATATAAGGAGAAAAGTGGGTGACAGAAACTCTGACTTCCCGAATCTATTCTAGAATATGCCATTAGGTTGCATTTCTGCCTTCCTGTTCTATTAAACCTTCTCTTTCACTATTTTGGGGATATGAAGTATTAACACTCAGACTTTAGAAAACACTGACCTCTAAGGTCATCTCTCAAGACAAGTGTCCTTTTATTGTATATTAGAGATTTTTGAGGTTGGACATATGACTACATTCATCATCATTGTCTCCAGTCTGGTCCAAATTCTCCTTTTCACTTAGAAGTCAAAGGTGTCTAAAATCTGAGTTGTGACTCCCTATCAGAGTAATCTTTTAGAAGTTTTCATCCACTCACATCACTTTCCATCTGTCGGTTGTGCTAGAATATGTGTCTATAGTGTGGGGAAATTAGTGAATAAATGATTGGTAAGTAGAGAGAAATGTGAATTTAACATGCAAAGTGCAGTAGTCCCTGCTTATTTGTGAAGGATATATTCCAAAATGCCCAGGAGATGCCTGAAACCAAGGAGAGTACCGAAGCTGTTATCCATCAATCAGAACACGTTTCTGTTTATGTCTTCCACCCACAAATTTTATAGTTTTTCCATTTTAACTAAGCACGTATCATGGGGCTGTAACTTTTGGAGTTTTGGGAGGTGGGACAGCAAAACTAGAAGGGATTTCTTTTTCATTCTTCACAATTTCATGGAGAGGTTTATTCTTACCATAGCAACCTCAGCATATGATCTATTTTCTTTCCTTATTAAGTAGAGAAGTTTCACTTTCTCACATAAAGGGCACACTTTATGGTTCCTCTTTGGCATATCCAAGTTGCCAGCATCACTATTCTTTACTTTGGGGCCATTATTAACTAACCTAAGGCTTTCTTGAACATAAGCACTCAATACTGTGACAGTCAATCCGCTAACCAAGAAGGATAAGTGACTCATGGGCAGGGAGTGTCTCCTACGTGAATCTACTGCACAAAAAGACAATACACATCACAGGTGGGACAGAAGTACATGCTGCAAAATTTCATCATGCTACTCTAAATGGTGCACAGTTTAAACCTTATAAATTGTTTATTTCTATAGGTTTCTATATAATATTTTTGGACTGCAGTTTATCACTGGTTACTGAAACCATGAAAAATGATGCAGGATAAGGGGTGACTACTGTGTGTTGTTTCATAAGCCAATTCACCAACACATAAACAGTTTGCACCACGAAACAACAGCAGCTAAATGCAAACTATGGTAATAAAGCTGAAGTTAACTGGAGCCACAGAGGAGTGCAATGTAGAATATGATGCCCGTTTCCCTCAGGCCCACATTCTGTTCTTACTTTGGCTCTTGTCGGACACAAATTCTATCATACTGTGCTGTGCTTCTTCCAGACTTTTGTGCCTTTCTCAGAGTAGGCTGAACCTTACTTGTATCAATGTTATCAAATTACCTTATTTTTGTAAGAATAGAATTTTATATTTACTAGGTATTTATTTAGTAATAGTTTATTTTTGCTGATATTTTCATTGGGATGGTGATTGCTGGTGGTGATTGCACAAGTTTTGGGGATCTGCACGTATCTTTTTTTCTCTATGAGCCCTGTTATTTTAATATGAATTTTGCAGAATGCAATGCTTTTAAAAAACTTGCATATCACGCTTAGCAGAAGCACCTGTAATTAAAAACATAAAACTTTCTCCTTGAACATATTAAAATCCAGAACTGTAATATGATATTTACGAATTTAACAAGGCCTGCATAATCGACCCCTGCATGCTCAACCCTTGCCATTCTGTTCCTTTCCTGAGTCCAAACTCCTTAGTTTTAATTCATATTAATAACAGTAATTAAAGTAATTTATATTAGAAGTGTACTCATGTGATTGTTTACTCTTTTCTGGGTGGAGTGGTGGGGTAAAGAGAAGCCAGAGAGGAGTAATGGTGCCTATTTTATCAGTCATTCTGTTCCTGGGGTCTACACTATTACCTGGTAAATGATAGGCACCAAGCACATCTTCGTTAAGTTTGAATGAATAATTCGTTGAATGGTAATAGCTAACCTTTATTGAAAACTTACAACATTCTACATAGTCTTGTACGTTCTGTGCCTATATAACAGCCCTGTGAAGGAGGTGGTATCATTACATCCGTTTGACAAAGAAATGGAGGAACAGAGATGTTAAATGATTTGACCATGATCTACACGTTAGTACATAGCAGGTAGGCTTGAATCTGGGCAGTCTGACTATAGAGCTCACACTCTTGGATCCTCTACTGTGTTGTCCCACTGTTGACAGATGTAAAAATACACAAAACCTCAGGGGTTTCCAATCCTAGTAAAACAAGGAATATGTGCCTACAAACTTGAGTTTCAAGTTATTTTTCAAAACCTAAGCAGGTATTTCAATACTGGGCAGCTTAAGCTTTCAGACTCTTTTAGATTTTTTGTAAAATTAGGAGATTTAAGCTATCAGGTCAGTTCCTTTGAAGTCCAGAGATCCAAGACTCTCAGCTTTCCACCCACAAGGACCTGGGAAGGACATAATTTTAGGCAGAGGCAGGAAATAATAGACAGGGTCAGTGTTCTCACAGGATTGCATAGTGACTGAAAATTCAGAAAGTGTTCCAACAGCCCAGCAAGGCACAAACAGGTCACCAGGTAGAGTGATAAGAAGTAGCTGTTGTACAGAAGAGAGGGTATGAGGGTTTCCAATTGTTCCAGGCAGCTCTTCCTAGTGAACTTGAACTGTGAATGTAGTCCTGGGGTCTGACAGATGAGATGACAGCCTGTTTGACCTACTTGACAATTCTAAATTTGAGAATTGCTTCTGGCA